ACATATATGGGTCGCTTGGCTGTTTTGGCTGCACAAGGAGGCTGAGGCTGCCATTGACAAGTGTGACATTTGTTGGACCATTGCCTGTGTTCATCCATGCTATAAATGTGTAATAGAGTTGTGATGGCATGGATTCAACATAACCAAACAATCCTAAGTGGCGAACTTCCATGTACAACTGATTGGCTGACCAATTTGTGGCCGAAGTGCTAGCTACAAGCCTCATACTTTTTTGTAGTGACTGCCCAGTGAGCAACGTGTCACTGGGATGGTCAAATGACTGCCACACAGTTCCATTTCTGCGATCAAATAACACCAGATTGCAATCCTCGGTGATCACCATGCCTGCTACGGACCGCCCCGAGCTGCCACTGGACCATACGAGGCTACCATCAGCATCTCGGAGCACTAAGTTCCCATCGATGGTAAGCTCAATGGTGGCACCCTCCCTGACAGGGCGATCCCGGTTGGCAGACCATACCACATGCGGGCTTCTTGAAGCTCTGTTAATGCTGCAAATATAGACGGCAAAGAGGAACACATTGCAGGGTGGGGCGCAGAAGAAACCTGCTCCAAAGGAAGGTCCGTATATGGTTTGTGTCGAGCGGAGGACGATGGATCGGACATTCGAACCATAGATGAGGGAGTCCAGCGCGATGTTGTTGGTCCACGTTCTTGAGAGGTTGGCTGTGGGATAGTCGGCGAACTCCAACTGCGCCTCGGAGAGCAATTGTGCTGCAGTTGCTAGTATGATGAAGAGGAGATTGGCAGGACCCATGGATGCTGTTGGAGACTGGAAGAAGGACCAGTTCTTGGTATATGACTGAGGTTGAACCTGAAAGACGATCGCGTCCCCTTACAGAGGAGAAAGGTCCAGTGTTCGGCTCTGCCGGCCCAAGTCAGTCATTATGGCGGTTAGCGGCCGGCCGAAGTATATAGAATCTAGTAGTATAGCAGACGTCTGACTCAAGGGAGAAAGAACTACTATACCTTAGATCTCCCTTATTTTGTTGTAAAGACCTGCAAGTACTACTTAGAGCAGCATCAGGGGTCGCTAATTAAGGTTTTGCATCTTATTTGGATTTAAATTTGCTTCAGACGGCAAGGTCTTGAAATCGTCGTTCTAGTCGTTTTTTGTGACATGACAATTTGAGTTAATAAAAGGTCCTTTATGGGGAAAAGGCCATTCTTCTCATCCTGTAATCAGTTGCAGATGGTAAGCATTAGCATTCTTTATCTTATCAACACGAAGTGGCAAGGACTACCGATCAGCAGTTATTTAAATAAATGAACGAGTTGCCATTTGGCGACCATAGACGGTTCTGTTACCATAGGAGTATGCAGGTGTCTCTGTGATGAGGATTTCCGACCACGACGTTCCAGTTGCTCGATAACATATTCCACTGGCAACACAACGCCTCTCTTCCACATTAGGCTGTGTGAAATGCGTATTCTGCTCATCAGTTAGTGGTAGTTCCTGTTGCCTGCATAATTCCTTCAGCATGGTCAACTTTGTTCTTGAGAGCATGGCGATGTGCTGTTGGAAACTCAATCTGGGAACGATGTTGCTGTAAATTACAGAGACTATTCAGTTTCATGATGAAATTTGGGAGCCAAGCTATACTCCTGTTATCGATTTTTTTGTCTTATTTGTCACATCGGAAGCAGAATTAATTGCCTTTTAAGTGTTTGTTGATAGCATGAGTTGGACATTGATTGAAACAGTTTTTTATATACAGTATCATAATTGAATGTGAAACAGGTTTCTTATACAGTATCTAGTTGAACCTGAAGCACGATTGCGTCCCTTGCAGAGGAGAAAAGTCCACTGTTCGGCTCTGCCGGCCCAAGTCAGTCATTGTCGTGGTTGTCTGTCGGCCGAAGTATATAGAATCTAGTATAGCACCCCATGATGGTTGCGGTTCCTACGGATGCCGGTGGAACACTTCCCTCTTTGGTGGGTTGGGTTGCTGTTATGCATCTGCAGCTGCACGGTCATACTGTACTGAGTTATTTCACAATACCATGTTCTACTCTTCACAAACTATTTATTTACCTTCTTTGGACGTTGGGGAAAACACGAAATAAATCTTGTTTTCAAGGTATTAGACCTAGTGATCCTACTAATAACGTGGTTTTCCTTCTCTGCCAATTTCTGAAAACTTGGGCAAAACTTCAGAAAGGCGCTCTGCAAAAGGTTCTGCAGAAGGGGGCTAGCACGACAGTGAAAAAGGCGAAGGAGAACTTTGGGTGGCATCATGGCTGGAACCCTGCGACCAGGCGGCTGGCCATGTAGTTTTGTGCGTTGGTATAGAACTCGAGCATCGCCTGATGTGGCCCAAATTCTGCCGCTGTTTCTAATTTAGCTGAATGTGCTAATCCTCCCCCTTCACTGTAAGGCTTGACTATGCAAAGTTGAAGGAACTTCTTTATGATTAAAGATATAATATATTCCTAGCCTGTGCAGTTTAGCTGAAAATAGCGATGGTTCTCGTACATTTTCCCCAGATGATCATGGTGGTTTTTTCATACATATACCACCCACTGTTCATCTCACTCCACAGTTTCTTTGTTGACGCAATCTTGGATCAGGTCCGTATCTACTGCACCTTGTTGGTTTTCGTTTGATCCTATTATTGTCCTGTTCATCGCGTGTGGTTCTCATCCACCCACGGCGTACCTTCTTTTGCCATCATCCAGATCTTAAGAAACCTGACGTACGAGGAGGAAGCACCACATGACATGATAGGCCTTTGACAGCCATCACTTAGCAAGCACCACATTGCAAGCTTAATCATTTTGAATCACTTGCTCCTGGGGTGAGACCATGTCGTCACTATGCTTTTCGGTCAGATATTCAGATCACTCAATTGATTATCTCGAGCCTTTTATCATAACAAATTTACGTTGTTCATTGACATGAATCGAGAATGCTAACCAATGCAATTGCTTACAGGATGACAAAACTGACTACAGTTTGCTTAGTGCAGAGGAGAGATCTAACCTGGTGGTACTGATGACTACCTGAAAGATGGGCTTGCTGGCATGACATTTAGTTTCGACTCCCTTGATACCACAAGTTCAGAACCATACCGGGCACTGCTTCGACATTTCTGCAGATGACTTTTTAGACCGCTCTCTCGATGTCAGAAATTCCAAAAAGTTAAGTCTTTGTCTTGGTAGCTGTCCACCGAAGTAATCTAGTACAGTAGACGCCTGACTCAAGGTAAAACTACCTTAGATGTCCCTAATCTTGCTGTAAACGCCTGCAAGAGTGCTATTAGAGTACTATAAGGGGTCGCTAATTAAGCCTGTGCATCTTATCTGGATTCAAATTTGCTTCGGATGTCTAGGTCCTGAAATCGTCATTCTAGTCGTTTTCGTCATTCTGTAAGCAACTGCAGTGGTAAAGATAGTCTTCCAATCAGCAGTCCAATTGAGGCTTTTTCGTTCGATTTTGTGAGTATTCAGGTGTCTGCGTGATGAAAAGTTTCTAAGAATAGTCCAGCCACACGGTCATACTGTACCGAGTTATCTCACAATACCACATTCTACTTTTCACAAACTAATTACCTTCTCTCGACGTCGTAGAAAACATGAAATAAATCTTGTTGTAAAGGTACTAGACCTAGTGATCCTACTACTGACGCGATTTTCATTCTCTGCCAATTTCTGAACACTTGGGCATAAATTCAGAAAGGTGCTCTGCAGAAACTTCTGTGACAGGGGGATAGCGCGATGGTAAAAACGGCGAAGGAGATCTTCAGGCAGCAACACGGCTGGACCCTGTGATCAGGAGGCTGGCCATGTAGTTTTGTGCATCAGTAGAGAACTCGAGCCTCGGCTGTTGTGGCCTAAATTCTGCTGCTGTTTCTAATTTAGCTGAATGTGCAAAGTTGAATGATTCAATATATTCCTAGGCTGTGCAGTTTAGCTGCAAATAACAACTATTGTGCATTTTCCCCGGATGGTTATGACAGTTTTTGCATACATATACCACCAATTGTTCATCTTGCCCCACAAGTTCTCTCTTGACTCCATCTTGTATCAGGTCCGTATCTATAGCACCTTGTTGATTTTTATTTGATCTTTATCATTATCCTGCTCATCATGGTTCTCATGCATCCACGGCGTACAATTTGGTTGTGCAAACATCCAGATCTTAAGAAACCTGACACATGAGGAGCAGAGGAACTTGTATGAGCAACTTGGGGAGATGTTAGGCAACTTATGCAAAGCTGATAAACTGTCTGCTTGCGTGATAAGGCTAACTAATTTAATTAGGTGCTTGATTCCCCTGCTACTGATTGATTTATTTATCATATGCACTAGTTCTCTCCTCGTTTTTGTTATCGGAGATGGAGAAGTTATACTTATATTTGTGTAAATCCCCTGCTACTGGGAAGGATGCACTAATTGGAGCATAAGTATTAGGCATTGGACCTGTTCAGACTAGTCTGTGCCTGCCATTGTTATGGATACATGCTTAAAGTTAGTGCGACTAGCTAGTAGTATTATATAGCTCATGTCCTTATCTGATATCAATCTTAAAGTAATTAACGATGACTGACCGGCTGGGGAGTGGGGATGTCCACGACTCTGCTAGTCTGTCTACTTCCTAGCTTTCTTCTCCAAGACATTGACTATTGTCTTGAGAAACTTGACACGAAAGTTAACTAATCCTCAAGAAAACGACCTTGACTAATGTTGCTAAGCACTGAAGTCGTTGCCGCGGTGTTCCAAAACATGGAGATAAAATAAGTGATCATGGTACATATGTGTTAAAAATAGAGTAAACAGCAAGTCTATTCAATGTCCGGACACTAAGTGATTGTGCAAAATAAGTGTCCTTGACGTTAGCACATGCCTCATGGATGATGCATTGTTATTGCCTCCCATACCCTATATATATCACGCCACGCTCAGCTAAGCAAGCAAGCAAAACACAGTAGTTAACACTGAAGTTCAAGTCATATCCATAGGTACCACGCAAGGGAGAAATGGCCGGTGAAGACGAGCTGAAGCTGCTGGGTACGTGGGCGAGCCCCTGGGTTTCTAGGGTGAAACTCGCGCTCCTCCTCAAGGGCTTGAGCTATGAGAACGTCGAGCAGGACCTCAACAACAAGAGCGACCTGCTCCTCGCCTCCAACCCGGTGCACAAGAAGGTGCCGGTACTCATCCACAACGGCAAGCCAATCTGTGAGTCCGTCGTCATCCTAGAGTACATCGACGATGCCTATGGTACCGTAGGCCCCTCCTTCCTGCCCGTTGACCCATACGAGCGTGCCATTGCTCAGTTCTGGGTAGACTACATTGACCAGAAGGTTTACTCTTATAGTGTTTTGTGTTGTTGATTTCACAATTATGTATGTGGGAGCTGATTAATGTTGCTATTTGGTGCATGCAGCTAGTCATCCCGTGGAAAGTGGCGTTCATGGCCGACGGAGAGGAGGAGAAGACCGAGGGGATAAAGCAGATGCTGGCGGCGGTGCACACGCTGGAGGGGGCTCTCAAGGAATGCTCCAAGGGGAAGCCCTTCTTTGGCGGTGATAGCGTTGGATACGTGGACATTGCACTGGGCGGTCTCTTGGCATTTTTGCAGGGAACTGAAGAGTTATGTGGTAGCAAACCCTTTGACATCGCCAGCACCCCACTTCTGCTGGCATGGGTGGAGCGTTTCACCGCGCTGGACGCCGCCAAGGTGGCCCTGCCAAATGTCAGCAAGTTGGTTGAGTTTGCCAAGACGAAGCGGGCTCAGATGGTTTTGTCTATCAAGAAGTGAACTAATCTGTCACATGAATGGTTTAGATCGGAGAATATTTATTAAGTTATGTTTTCTAAAATACATGTGCTAGTATAGTTGTGTATTATCTCCCGTTGGTGTCCCTGTCAAACATGTCATGCATGGAATATTGTACTGAATAAGGAAGATTGAATGATCTTTTGTTATAATATCTTCTTTCTTGTTGAGACTATATTTTGCTTTCATGGAGAGGCTGTGTGGTCCGAGAGCACATCAATCTTTGTTCGATGGAGATCACTACCAGAATAACTGCTTGCGCCGACGGCCTCATCTATGCCGACGCCCCCCGTCCGCATAGATGGACCTATGCCGACAGCCAAGGACAGGCCGTAGGCGTAGAAAAGCCGTCGGCATACATCCATCTATGCCGACGGGGCCGTCGGCATAGACGAGGCCGTCGGGACCGCTCGAGATACGCCTACGGGGCCCGTCGGCATAGCCCGGGCCCACCTACCCGGTCAGCGCTGACCGTTTGACGGCGTTGAAACTACCCCGACGGGAGGTAACGGCGGCCGTCGGCATATCTATGGCAGAGGTATGCCTACGGCATAGCCGTCGGCATAGACCTGGCCCATGCCCCTCTGCCACGTCATCGATCCGTGTGCGCACCTTGCCGTCGGCATATGTTTATTTAGTTTTATTTTTAGTTTTGCTTTATACTATCTATGGCAAAGGTATGCCTACGGCATAGCCGTCGGCATAGGCCCCTTTGCCATGTCATTGATCCGTGTGCCATAACACGTCATCGACCCGTGGGACTGCACCTCCGTGTGTGCACAGATATGCCGACGGCCTATTTTTACTTTATTTTAGTTTTTGTTTTTGCATAAGATAATTATGCCTTATCTAAAAAAACATACCATGATGGTATATCGATTGCCCCTCGTTACGAACGTCGCTATCGCCGTGTCACGGAGGGGGGAAACGATCGACACGGAGGGAATTCTGGTTGGTGGGGGGAGTCGGGGTATAGCTATGTCACTGAAACATCGCACGGGTCCCGATGCATATGTGAAAGTGTTCAGGCATGCGTGGACGCCCGTCTTGGGGCTCCGCGGTGTGGCCCCCCTGCACGCAAGGCAGTGCCGTCGTCACTTGGAGGGGGCCAAACCCCGGAGACGTGTGCCGCCTCTTCGGACATGCCACCACACCGTACAACATGTATGAGGTCCCGGTGCGACGCTCGGGTGGCATTGCTACCCCCGCAGGCCCCCCCGTCCCGCCTAATCCTGTAGTGTTTGACCACGGGATTTAGCCCTTTGACTTTGCACGGACGGGCTTTGAGCAGTGGACCTATCCACCCGGTTGTGTTAGGTCAGCCCATAGGAACACTTTGGAGCAACATCCGGGCCAGACCCACAGCAAGATCCCCTTCGTGTAGACCCGACGCGTCCGTTTCCCCCTACAGGTGCCGGCGACGGCGCCGTCCGTGAGGGGGGGCACAACCCGGAGACGCGTGCC